AGAGCTGTGTGGGCTGCCTGGACCTAAAGAATGGGGAGAAATGTGCTTGGTTCTGTTCTCATGTTAATCAGAAGTTAGCTGATGTTGCACTTTCACACCATATATAAACCCAAATACATAAAACAGAATTTTGCAGCAATCCAATTAAAAAGAAAGTGTTTGTTAGGAAACAGTACACATACTGTATATTATTGTAAGCAATATTCAAAGTGCGTTATATTAGGAATGTGCTTTCAAAAATGTGTATGTTGGACAAACTGGTTTACAGAATGTATTATTATTATTGAATCACATTTGTCTCAGCTCTTTTTTCTTACCCCAAATCACCCAATGAGTTTCATGGGTGAATGGAGACTAGAACCTGGATCTTCCAAGTTCCCAGGCCAACATTCTGATCACCATACCACACTCTCAACATATAGAGAGAAAAAATGCACAAATGCATGCAGAGGTTTTTTTTTTTTTTTTAATTCTCAGATTTGGGAGAAATGACCTTACAATGGGAGACATTTTCAAATTTTTGGATAAAGCAAATTTAAAATTGGAAAAATGAAAAACTGAGAGAAACCAAACTTGACAGGTTTGTCAAGCTAGCCAGTTGTCCTCAGGTGCACTGGTGGTGTTGTCTTTCAGATATCAGTGCTGAAGTCAGTCTCAGGTGCCAGTCCAGTTGGCTTCTAGATCATGAGGGAAGGAAGCATCGTCAAGTCCGTGGTGTCAGTCAGTAAAATATTCTGTACAGCAGAGACTGCCTGATAACAGCCAGAACTGTTTTTCTCTACCCATTCCCTACCCATTCTTGAATTTATTCCCTCCTTCCCTCACCAATGCCAGAATCTGTGCTTGGATGGATTACTGAAAACTCAGGCAGAAAATATAATCCTTACTGAGACTCTTAGTGAAAACTCAGGCAGAAAGTAGAAAAGGCAATGACCCTGTCTGTGTTGGAATATCAGAATTACCATGGATACAATCAATAACTTATTTTATATATACAAGTCTCTGAGTAGACTGGGAGACTGTTCTTCTTGTATTGTATGCACTGAAAGTTCCGATCTTAAGAGGAAAAGTAATTTTTAAAAGAACTTAGCAAGGACAAAGGCATTAGGAGAGAGTTATATTTCTTCCTCAATTGAACTTTAATTCATTCTTTCTTTGAAACTGAATTACATTTTAAATTAAAAAAGTAAATGCACGGCATTTTAAATTCTGTGCTAACGTCATTCCCAAAAAGATATAATTACTCCAGTTTCTGTGACATGCTTTGGAGAAACTGTCTGCATGATGTGTTTCTCCAGCAACAGGAACTTGAAGATCTCTTGTACTTTCATTGAAGAGGCATCAGTGCAGAAATGAAGATGAATACTTTCTGGCATAGGTTTTCTATTTTCGAGTGAAATGAATTCATGTATCAATAATTATCCTACATTTTCTTTGTTGGTTCTGATATTGAATATCCACCCCAGATTCTGTGTTTGCTCATTTTTTAATTTCCCTGAATTTTGGCATTCAGTTATTTGATATGGGGCAGTTTATACATTGCTGCACTTGAAATTGGCATGCTGTTGGGTGTAGCGTTTGACAGCATAGATAGCTGATCTGCTATTGCAAATTTCAGGGTTTCTTCCAAACTTCTGCTTTGAGGGAGCATCTTCCACCTCAGCATCTGCCAAAGAAGTTTTGCATTTTATTTATTTATTTTATCTATTAAAACATTTCTATGCCGCCCCTTGCGGCATCCCATTGTGACAACATCCCAGCACATTGAAAAGACACTGCCAGCAGGTTCTGGAGCAGCCTTTCCCGGCCTAGTGGCCTTCAGAGGCCTTTGGACTGCAATTCCCAGAATTTCCACCCTGCAAGGCCATTGACTGGGAATTCTGGGTGTTGAATGTTGCAGTCCAAACATGTCTGGAAGGCACAAGTTTGAGGAAGGCTGTAGAGCACATCCTCTGTTATCATAAGGAGGATTGTGTCATCCTTTATGAACTGAGAGTACATGCTAGGAAAAATATATATATATAACATTTTTCTGACTATGCAGTACTGCATCAGTGAATGTACAGAAATGGACAGCATACGGTCATTCCTATGCTCTTTTGATTGAGGTACCCCAATAAATTTCTAGATAATGCCATATTCCCTGCAAAATAGTTTGTATTTATCAATACATTGAGGCTTTTATGCATAACAATTTAAAATGAGATAGATCACTGGCTTGTAATGCTGTTGTATCAGCTATTGTTTCATAGGTAGGGCAGTAGGGGAAAGTAATTGGCAGTGGGGCAGGATGGCACCTGTCATCCCAAATCCCTTATCCATACCTGTCCATCTCCAGGCCACCAGGGCCATAGCTGAGTGGTGGGTCCATGCTTTGCATGCAGGAGATCCCGGGGTCAGTCTCCATCATCTCCTACCTGGAACCCCACAGAGCTGCTGCCGATCAGTGTCTGTCACACTGGGTGAGAAGGACCAGTGGCCTGACCTGGCACAAGGCAGCTTCCTACCCTGCCTTCCCTCACAGTCTGGATGTGCACTTGTCAGGGAACAGGCTTGCTTGGGAGCAGTGGCAGGTCTGATTAGTTTGCTCCTCTTCCATTTTGTGTAATGCATATGGAGAATAAATATGACTGGAAAATTAACAGCCTACTTCATCTACGCAATTCAAAATGCTCACTGTAACATACAAAGCTCTAAACGACTTGGGGCCAGGCCATCCGAGGGAGCACCTTTCTCCATATGTACCAAGCCAATCTCTGCATTCATCATCAGAGGCCTTCCTCTGCCTTCCTCCTCCTAGAGAAGTGAGTGGGGAGAGAGCAAGAAGGAGAACCTTTTTCTATCATAATACGCCAGTTATAGAACTCAATTCTGCTTGAGATCAGTTGGCATTTTCTCTATATTCCTTTAGACACCAGCTAAAGACTTTCCTGTTCCACAGGAACTTTGATGAATGAATCTGTTTGCTTTGCTGTTTTAATGGACGGTTTTAAAGGTTTTAATATTATTGACTGTTGCTGTCATGTTCTCATTTTATGGGTTAATTATGAATGATTATTTTTATTTTAATGATTTAATATGTAGTATGCCCATTTTATTATTTTGTTTCATTTTGTTTCATTTCATTTTCCATATTTATTTTTATCAACTGTTTATTTCCTTTTGTTGTTTGTTATTGATTTTATTGTTATCATTGGTTTTACTGTAATTACAGATTTTATTGTATCACTGTACTGATAATGTTATAACCCATCCACAGAGCCTTATGGCTAATTGGGCATCACAGAAATCATATAAATAAATAGAATATATTCACCTTGCAGGAATTAAGAAAACTAACAGATGTCAACAAAGTTTTGAAGTGAGGTCACATTAAGAATATCAATTCCAATTTTGCTTTCCAATTTCTCAAGCAATCCTTTATATTGCAAACAAATGAATAAAATAATCATATCATATTTTAATGAAATCTTTGTTTTTAAATGTTGCCATTCCAAACTAGAACAGGATGTAGGGAGCTGCATCTTTATTCAGGTTCAAAACAGTGTCTTTGTGTTTTGGAGTTCAGAGACCATTTCTGTCTTGTACTACTGCTCTTCAAGTTACTTTTCTTTGGTCACGCCAGTCTGGGAGACCAAATGAGTGCTTGTGACCAGGCCTACCTATTACGGCAGCCATTCTAAGAAAGGGCATGCAATGGCAGCCATTTTGTGAAAGCACTTTCTGCGATCACTGCCTCAAAAGACTGGGGACCCTTGAGCTGGCATTTGAATCTCATGAACTCCCACTGTACCTCTAAAAAGCACAACATAGGACATGTGTGATTATGCCATTTTTCCCCACAAGAAGGCTGGATGGTGCAATGAGAACTCTGTGTCATCCTCTTCTTGGCTGAGGTGGAGAGATGGGTGAGAGGCAGTAAGGAAGTGTTATTTTTTGACTTCTCATTATCCAACAAGAACTGCTCCAAGATGCGTGCATTTCTGTATATGTTGCCCGCAGAAACACTAGTGTTGGCCCAGTGATTCACGCAGGGGGAAAAGGGTGAAGAAGAGAAGCACATTTGGGAAATTCTCCAATCATGCACCTGGAAATCCTAATTCGCTAATGCTCTCAGCGCACAATGAAGAACATGTGTCTGTGTACTTGTACTGTGTTTACTATGTACCATGGTAGCTGTGGCCAATGTAGTTGCTGGGTGGTGTCCCATTGCTAGCTGGGAATTTCAGCCTAGATCCTTTTGATCACAAGCCAGAGCTATACTATGCCAGCTGTCCTCCTGTTTCAGGCTGCTGGTGGTGGTTTTAATCAGAGTCAGGAATGTGGTGGCATCAAAAGTGTGTCTCAGGCCAGGAATAAATATCCACATGAATTTTAGAAGCAAGGGAAACTATACCTTTCCAAGACATACATAGTTATCATAAGATCAAAGTGGTTTATATGGTCCCCCTCCTCTCCATTTTACCCTCACACCAGCCTGTAGGGTAGGTTAGGCTGAGAATCAGCGACTGGCCCAGAGTCACCCAGTGAGCTGCATGACTGAGTGGGCACAACAGCCTGGACATCCCAAGTTCCAGCCCAGAACTCTCACAAATACACCAAACTGGTTCGCATGTGGAAAATAGCAAAATTCATTAACCATATTCTTCTTGCCTTTCACATATTTTAAGTAGAAATAGGCAGATCTATCAAGTCCATTCCACAGACTTCCCATTTTCCCACCTTCAGGTTCATGATTTGTCAGACCCATGCAAACCATTTTTTTAACAAGAAAAGATCTGTACATATTGATGTGCCTATCAACAATCTTGTCAAAGATGTAATTATGTCATGAATTTCGCATGATTAGAAAGACATTTTCACTGCCCCATGCACTTACATTGCTTTTAGCATTAGCCTTCTATATGTGAGGTTTGATGGGAATGGTTAATGGATTGTATATAGTGATTAGCTTCCCACATAAGCCACATGTACACACATTTGTATATTATTGCTTCTAGGATGGAATGGGGAATCTGAGAGTCACCAAAAAAGGAATTCGACTTGAAGGTATATCTGAATTTCTACTTCCATTGTATGTGAAAGAAATCCATTCCCGAAAGGTAGGTTGCAACATCTGCTTTGCTTACATAAACAAATAAGATGATTTTTAAAATCTCTGAACTCATTTGCCTTCAGTGATCCTATTAAATTAACAGTTAGCTCAAGGTTCCCAGTGAAAAGTCACTTGGACAGAACTATATGAAGTGCATCAGAGATGTTTTCACACAGCCTTCCCCAGCTTGGGTTCCTCTAGATGTGTTAGGCCAATTGCCCTGATGGCTGGGGAGGATGGAGTTTTTAGTCCAACACATACAGAAAGCAACAGGTTGGGGTAGGCTGCCCTATAACATTTCTAAGATTGATGCACATACTTAGGTGAGGTGAAAAACTAGTTCTTCAGAATGGCATAAAAGTATTACAATAGATGGCTGATGTATGGTATGACTTAAATATTATGGAAAACTTCACTTCAAAATGTGCTTTCTCCTACCATCTGTAAGACCCAAGACAGGATCCAATGTGACATGAATGCTAATGCAAATTGGGGTATTCAATATAATGTCAATAGCATAACCTAGCACAAGAGGATTTCCTGAAAACCCATTGTGCCAGCCAACACTATAAGCATTGCACTAGAAATCTCTTATGTTGGTGTAACTCCATCTCTGACCCATGGTGACCCTATGAATGAGTGTCCTCCAAAATGTTCTGTGTCTGACAGCCCCACACAGCTCTTGCAAACTCAAGGCTGTGGCTTCCTTTGTGGAACTGATCCCTCTCATATTTAGTCTTTCTGCCTTTGACCTTCCCTAGCATAATTGTCTTCTCCAGTGAGTTTTGCCTTCGGATGATGTGCCTGAAGAAAGACAGCTTCAGTTTCATCATTTTTCCTTCCATGCAAAGTTCTGGCTTGCCATTATGCTAGCACAACATAACCTACATTAATGTTCGTGTCACATTGGATACTGCATATGGATTTTGTAATATTTTTTTCTTAATTTCATACTTATCTACCTCATAAATGCTACACATTTAATACCCAGCATGGACTAACAAAGATATACCACCAAGGTTGAGAAAACCAGAATTAGAGGGAATGTGGCAGGGAATACAAGCTCTAAGGAGTAATGATGAGAAAGAGAGGATGCTTGCTGTGTCCTTCCAAAGGACAGGATGGTTGGGCCACCATGGAAAATAGGATGTTTAGTGAGATGAGCCAGGCTGTACTCCAGGAGGACTTTCTTATGTTCTAAATCAAGTCACTTTATACAGAACATACTTAATAATTTAGAACAGATACTTACTAATGTAGTAGTAGTAGTAACAATATACTAAAAATCTAGTGATATATTAGATATATTTTGGAATATGCCATTCAACATTTCACATTCAGAACAAATTGGCAGCATCTAATGAGAGTAGTGAGATGATTGGTACATTTAAACCATATGTTTGGCCTGTTTGTAGCTGCTGTTCTGTGAAATCTTCAATCAGTGCCATAGCAAGTGCCATCACATTTATTAATAAGGCAAGCAAGTTTATATTTCCTCTGCCTTTGTGAAGGAAACACCCAGCTTTTAGCATTCAAATCATTGCAATATGCTTGGGCAACTACTATGGCTAGGTTACTATTTGACAAATTGATCAAAGTCATGTTTACACTGAAGTAATTCTCTTTGAGCAAGTGCCATCACATTTATGAATAAAGCAAGCAAGTTTCCTTTCCCTTTGTAAAGGAAACATCTGCTCCAGCTTTTAGCATTCAAATCATCACTATATACTTGGGCAACTACTATGGCCAGGTTACTATTTGTCAAATTGATCAAAGCCATGTTTACATCGAAGTAATTCTCACTGATGCCAGTGAATGATAGCCAAATATGTACAGTATGTTGTTAGCTGTTCTGAGTTATAATTCAACAACAGGCATAAACATGCTTAAGCTTAAGCATATTGAAATTAAGGGGCTTCCCCATATGTTGGAGTCTGTCCTTAGTAGCTGGATTTAATATAAACAGAGGTAGTAACTGGTTTTCACATGATAGGAATCTCATCCAAATGTGTACCAAGTAAAGCAGCCCAACACATTATGGTTTGATAAATCATTGTAAGTGGTGAATTTATGTACTACTTAAAGTATGCCATTACAAAATAGCAAACAAAAATACAACATTGCACTTTCAGCAGAGGAAGGATGCTTGTTTCAATTTGATTATGCAGCAATGGAGTTCTCAAAGATAGATAGATAGATAGATAGATAGATAGATAGATAGATAGATAGATAGATAGATAAAAAATCTGTTCATTTAATATCTGTGTGTTCTTAAATTCTTTCTAGCATTCCAGTGCTAACCAGTAATCAAGTAGTGATGCTAAAATGTTTTGAGTCAATGAAGTGTAAAGAATTTTATATGCATAGCTGCTCCAAAGTTGTTGGAAATGAAGAGCTATTTAAAAACTTGGCTGTGCCAACTAGTCTACAATAAAGACTGATTTCAGTGCCTACTGACATTCATTGTGTACAGTTCACAGCTGCCCCATCCACCTGATATTATGCAGAAAAGCATCCCTTCCTCATACTTGTTGCTTAGTGAAGAGAGGTTATTGTGCTAGAATGACATGTGTTAGGCATCGCATGTACATAAAATATCAAGGTAGATCTTGGCAACAAAAATACAGTGCAGAGTTCCCTAGCGATTCTCTAGCAAATAGCTGATTATTATATGATGGGTGGACTCTTGAATATTGGAAGACTGTGTGTAGGAATTATATGTTTCTGTGACCTATACCCAAAGGAGGAATTCATACTGTCTAGTGGAATCCTTGTAATAGATGAGATAGTTGACTTGCATAAATGAGATAGTTGGTGTTCTTGACATCACTTACCATGGGCGTTTATTTAAAGACGATGCAGAAATTCAGTAAGAAATGGCTGGGACTTTCTTGAGTGAGAAGCCGGGATGAAGGAGATTTTCCATTCTCTTGCTACAGGTCTTTCTCCACTCCATCCCTTCATATCACTTGACTTTATCCTAGCAATTCCATAATTGCTCTCTGGAAATTTTATCCTTACTCTCTTTCTTTTCCACAGCCTTTCTATTTTGTCTTGATCTGACATGTTGCCTGTCATGTCTTACTTTCCTTGTTCCTGTTGCTCTCTCTCTCTCTCTTTCTCAATCTCTGTCGCCAGAGTTTTACTAGTTTTCCACTAATTTTGTGCCTCACTCCCTCCTTCCTATAAAATACTTTATCATACCCCATTAGCAAAAGAAGTTAGCCAAGGAAAAAAGAAAAGGGTTTATTCAGAGTGGAGAATAGACCTGTCATTCTTTGTATCCATTGCAGATTTCTATCTGTGCATTCTGTTTGCATGAAGACATTTCAGAAAGATTTTAGAATTCTAGCTGGAAACGGATACACTCATCTCCTAGTTTAATGTGGAGAATTCTGATCAACTGCCCATTGGCTAACTTTCTAAGTATCCTCAAGAAAAGGGGGGGGGGGGCAATGCCTAAGGGGTCAAGGGATCAAGAACTGCTAGTCAAGCATTAAGAGAAAATTGGTATAAGATGTTTTATCAGTGGCACATTACTCCTAAAGATATTGAAAAAATAATAAGAATTACAATGGAAAATGTTGGGTTATGTAACAGGGTGCATGGAACTTTCTATCGTATGTTGTAGACTTGTGAAGTAATGAAGAAATTTTGGATTTTGATACATGTGAAAATGCATAACATTTTTAGAATTAAGTTTCCCATGAGTCCTAAGAATATGCTTTTGCATATAGTTCCAGAGAGCTTTTTCAAGAATATGTCAGAGTTATTTAAGTATATGACAACTGCAGCAAGAATCAGTTGCTTCAAAATGGAAATCATTAGACCCCCCCCCCAACAATTGAAGAATGGAGTAATAGACTAGCAGAATACACTGTGATGGCAAAGTTAACTAATTATGTAAACAGAAAACTATTAGAAGAATCCAATGATAAATGGAAATTTTACTATGCTCGGCATGATTAATGGGATCTGAGGGAAGTTTGAAAAAGGAAAAAAAAAGCAGTAGAGGATTTTATGTTATTGGAAGATTTGTTGTTGTATAGATTAATGGTTTCTTTGTTGTTAAATTCTCATAGAGTGTTGAAAGACAGGAAGAAAGATAGATGGGGGGGGGGGGGGCTGAATGTATAGGTTGTATTTGTTTAAAATTCCCTTGGCAACTTTGTTTATTTTAGCTTGCTTTGTTCTTTTTAGTCTGTTCTGTTTCACATTCTTTTTTTACTTCTTTATGTTAAAAAAATTAATTTTTTCAAAAAAGGGGGAAATAAGAACTGGAAACAATCACCTACTATTACAGTCACTACTCCTGCCTCCATCAGGAACCCAAGAAAAAAGAACATTAATGATTCTTCTGGCAGTAGAACTTAGATATGCTTTAGCAGTGCCTCTCCAAAAATTCTACCTCTATTGGCCACATCTATACCTGCAAATTCCTATGAGGTTTCCTCAAGAGTGACAATATCCAGAACTATACTGGTTGCTGCAACTTTGATCCATTTTCCCTGAACCACCATGTGGTTTTGGATGTCCATATAATTACATGTCATTCCCAGAAAGGGAGAGATGGAAACTTTCCCTGCATCCTTCATGCTTCTCAGAGCTAACCAATGGGCAAGTGGGTGGCCTAGAAAGAACTAAAGTATATGCTTAACTGATGAGGATCTTGCTGTAGCATTTGCCACCGTGGCAGAGCAGCCAGGGGGCTCTCTGGAACACCCGCTGGGGTAGGTCTGGATGGACAGCAGCTCTGGAAAGTCCTCCCAAAACCACTGTCCTGCTTTGCAAATGCTGTGGCAGTAAAGCACCCACTGGAGCTCTCTGGAGCACCTACTGTAGTGCCATGTCAGTGAAGAGACTTGGCAGTGAATAGCCTCCTGGTGGGTGCAAAGTGAACAGTTAGACAATTCCTCCATGCTACTGCCTTAGGTAGAAGATTCATCTTATCTCGAGCTCCATACATGGAACTGTGCTGAGAACTACTTAAAGAATACCTCTTCAGGT